CACCCAGTTCACTGGGCTATCCAGACAGCTTCTATACATTTTAGGTATTCATTTATTCATCAAACATGTTCATTACTCAAGAACAGCAAACAGCCTTGTGGAGTCCGAAAGATTAAACTTGTGTCAAAATTTCCTGTGTCATAAACATTCATATTTCAGTTTGCAAGGATTGAGCAGGACTGTTGAGGACAGGAGATCACTCATTCATTGGTCACCATAGGTCAGAGACAACTTGACAGCACATAACAACAACAGACTTTCATAGACCAAATCCCCACCTCATCTGACATTATTCTCCCAATCAGTAGTTTATTATATACACATTTAGGGGCCTGAGGGAGAATTATAACCATCAAGGTTAGAGGCAACCAAAATGCAAAAAGCTCAAAAGCAAAAAACAAACAAACCCATGTCTGTTTCCACAAGGGTGACCATTAAAAAACAGTACTTGGATAGTGTGGTTGTGCAGATCCCCTTGCACAGATAAGCTGTCCCCAATGGTAACCCTAAGACACACGTATGCGGAAGGTTCCTGCAATGTTGGATTAGGTAGTTAAACAAAAGTGAATATTGTTTTTTAAAAAGTAAACTTGCAGGGTTTTATTTAGTCATATCTGTCAAAGTAGTTTTGATGGGTTGTTGTGAAAATATATCTTGACCTTTTGCTGTTTTCAAATTTTGTTTTATTTTAGATTGGTTTGTCTTTTCATAACTCTGATCTGTTCTTTCTTTGTTTGTTGTAGTTATTACTGTTTGTGGCTTTTTAATTTTTATTTTATCCTACCTTTAGGAGAAACACAGCAAGTACATAAATAGATAGACAGATGTAAAGAAGTTTTAGCTCTCACTTGAAAATTTGTCACTTGGCAGATAGTTATTAGCAGGCATGTTATCTCTCTTGGCAAATAATTCTAGTAATATATACATATATTTAAAAAGGTATGAAAATCCTCCATCCAGCTCTTTTCTGCACCATAAAAATATGAGAGAAAAGACATACACAAAAGAGAGAGAGGAAATAAACAATTTCCCAAGCCATTTAATTCACCTATAAAAAATTAAATAGATGCTTTCTAGGACATGAAATTTGGCCAACTCTTTTATTTTTAATCTGTGTCGTTCTATTTTGCTACTTAAAAATGTTTTAATACAAGCCTTAAAAAAATTAACATTTAAAAGTGCTCTCTGTCAGGGTAAGCACTGCAACTGCATTTTATAACATTTTAACAGATTAAGGGATAAACTCTACTGAAGACAATGAAGGCACCTTATCAAATGAGCATTTCACATAGACTTACTGGAGATTGGAATTAAGCTCTGCTAACGAATCTTAACTCATTTGCATGGCCGGGACCTAATCCTAATGAAGCTTCATGGTAAGAAACTAACATGCTTTTTCTCTTGCAAAACATTCCAGTGCTCCTGAAACCATACTTTTTTTTTTTTAAGGCCCAGCTTGTATGGCAAAGCATGATATTTCATGACAGAGTGTGCAACATAATAAGCATCCTTTTCCACAAATAAGAAAGAGGCTGTGTGAGTAAATGAGAATTCTAAAGCAAGAATGTCTGGAAATACATACATCTGCTTTTCCTTCGGAGACACATTAAAGGATAGATTTGAGTTATGCTAATGAATCTGGATTTGTTAGCAGGGATCACATCTGATCCCTATGTAACACCAAAGGAGATTCATCAGCTACACATTATTAAACTAAAATGAAGGTTTTTCGCCCCCAGAAACTGAAAGCCAATGAATTAGAGTTCAAGCTTCAACTATCTTACCTCAGCATCAAAAATAAAGCACAGTGATGTATAGCAGACGTGCGCAACTAGTGACACACCCAGCCCACCCTCTGTTTCTGCATTTCTCAGGGAAGCATGGGGTTTGTTAAGCCACATACTGCGGTGCATGGCTGGTGAGTTTTTAGCCTGGCAGGTCACTAGTTGTGCATCCCTAATAAAAACCTATTGTAAAGTGGCCAGAGAACATTTGTAAACAAAGTATCAGTATTTGAAAACAAACTCTCTTTTTTTTCTAATTTATGTCGTTTAGTCGTGTCCGACTCTTCGTGACCCCATGGACCAGAGCACGCCAGGCCCTCCTGTCTTCTACTGCCTCCCGGAGTTGTGTCAGGTTCATGTTGGTTGCTTCGCAGACACTGTCCAGCCATCTCATCCTCGGTCGTCCCCTTCTCCTCTTGCCATCACACCTTCCTAACATCAAGGTTTTTTCCAAGGACTCTTTTCTTCTCATGAGATGGCCAAAGTACTGGAGCCTCAGCTTCAGGATCTGTCCTTCAAGTGAGCATTCAGGGTTGATTTCCTTTAGAACTGATAGGTTTGTTCTCCTTGCAGTCCAGGGGATTCTCAAGAGCCTCCTCCAGCACCACAATTCAAAGGCATCAATTCTTTCTGAAACATAAGGCACATGGCCACCTTAAATGCACATCTATACATATTTATCTGAGATGTAATGCCAATGAACTCACTAGGACTTGCATAAAATGTCACTTTTTTTGGAAATGTTTATTTTTGAAAAACAGCAACACCCCAAAATATCTAATAACAGAAAACCACAAATGCAATTATACGAATCAAGTGCTCCACCACCACTGGGACCATTTGGAGATATATCCAGTCTTTCCTATCTTTATGGAGCCCCATTACTCCTCCAAAACTGAGCTGACTCTTCCAAAGGTGCACATTCCTTCCCATTTAATATAAAATCAATAAATTCTTCCCACATATCTATAAAATATTCTTATCAAATGCCTTTTTACTTTAATATTACATGTTAACTGATCATTAATAGCTATACTGTACCTCAAATCTTTTTAAACCATTCACTTAACTGAAAATCGTACTTTGTTTCCAAGTCCTAGCTACCATTCATCTTGCTGCTATTAATACATTTAAATTTTATAATTTAGTTGTCTAATTACATTGCTCCTTCTCAAATATTGATTGAAGTGCTATTCTTGGACACACCTCTAGTTGTTTCATTTATTTCCTTGAAAACTAACTGCCAAAATATCAATATATTCTCACCACATATGAACGTAAGTACCTATTTTCTGACATCCTCTCCAACACAACTTGGAGTAATTAGCATCTCGTTGATCTGAAATGTCACCCTTTGGATCCCAACAAGACAGTACTACCTGGCTAATTTAAAACATGGCATCATAATCCAAATTATATTAAAAACATGTTTTCTAACTATTTAAGCATTTATTGCAAACTGTACGGTGTAAACAATTTACATCTGGCTAGAGTGTATATGTATGCAAAGATAGACTAGTTCTAATTTTCTTCCCATATCGAGAGTCTACAAGATATCTTGCCTGCTTACAGGGTAAGAATAATAATTTTGCAACCTCTCCTCTAGCAAGGATTTGTGAGATAGCTTTTATACTGTTGGTGTAACATTTCATCCAACCATAATTCAGAGGGAAAAAAATTAAACTGCAACGAAAGAACCTGCAAAATTATTACATTACTATGATTCCTATGACTTCAATGGGATTGCACCAATGTAAGCGGTCCCTATAAACAGCCTCAGTGGATGAGAGGAAGGCAGGAAGTAAATGAATTCCCACTTTTATTCTATTTGATTGACCTTCCATATTTCTGCCCTCTGTGGAGCTGCCCTCATTTGCACTGGTTAAAGCCCTTCCATTAGTTCAAAATTGCTGGAACACAACCAGAACATCCAGCATACTATGGCAGCGCACAGCTGGTGCCAAAGAGCCCTTTAACTACCTAATTTACATGAGCAGTTGTGCTTTCAACACATCCTGAGTGGTGGCTAGGCAAATTTGACATGAAGAATTTTATGGAATGAGATAGAAGCCATGCGTGCTCAAACAATGCAGACTTTTCATAATATTCAAGCAGGTCCATTTGAAGAAAATACTGTAATAAGATGAGTATTGTTTTTAAAGAGCTAACACCCAAGCATAACAAAATGTGCCCAAACTCTGGATCTCCATCGTAGATGGGATGATGGTACATGGAGCAAAAGGCTCATAGGGATCTGTGTCATTGAGGACTGTACTGTATGGTTCCATGCACCAGTTTTGTTCTCTGCATCCAAGGGAAACTACTCACTGCATAGTGCATTTCCTGTCACAAAGAACAGGAAAGTATGAGATTATGTGGCCTCCTGTTCACTGTTAGGATACCATTAGTCTTTGGCGTGATTACTATGTGCACATAGAGACAAATCTATTCTATTGTAAACTGGTTGGATGAGATCAGTTTGTGAGTATTCTTTTCTTTTATCAAGCTGCTGGCTTCTTCAAGGAAGCTAATGCAAAAGCTCTACAGGTATTTGCCCAATGCAGCTTATGGAATCAACAGAGAGGATGGGAATAGGGCTGTGGTACCTACTGGCCCCATGACTAACCTGGAAGTATGAAAGCAAACGCTTAGGGTAAAAAAAACTGAAGCCCTTAAAGTAACTATTTTTATTTTGGGACCTCAGAATTATAGCTATAACTATTTTCTTTTTTTAAAAAATTATGTCTCAAGTGTCGATATGTGGGTATCATTGATCACACAGGAAAGATTTGGCATAGTGTTCAGTGGAGCCCCTTCGCCACAATCCTTCATACCACATATCCTTTTTAGATGGACCCTGTTGCATGAACAATGCAGTGTCATATTGAACAGAGAAGTAGGTCTGTGATCATCTACATTACATATATCTGATTATCACTATGCAAGATCTGTAGGCAATGCAGTGTCATATTGAACAGAGAAGTAGGTCTGTGATCATCTACGTTAGATGTATTTAATTATCACTATGCAAGATGGGAATAGGGAGAAATGGGGCTCTAATGAATCCTTTAAGAATTACCTTGAAAATGTTTTGTAAAGCCTTTTAACAGCGGATGACACCCAACATAAGAAGAAATAAAATCTCCTAAGGAACAGGGCCATTTTAAGGAAACATTTTTCTCTCTCTGACACACACCATTCAAGAAGAAAACACACCTTTAATGATCCCCTTTTCTTGTAAAGTTCTCAGGGAAGGTCTTCGAGTGATAAACTTCTTTAATCTGCTTTTAACTCGATTTATCTCAGTTGTATCAGAAATGCTGTAGTTCAGTCTGAAAACTGAAAGGGAAAAACAAAGAAAAGTTGTAATCAATTGTACATTTTAATATGGGAAGGCTTGCTAGAAATCACTCCCTCTCTCTGTGGTGGCAGGGGATGGTCTGTATCTTCTATCCCGGAGTCTCATTTGTGGGATGATCCAAGCAGAAACTAATTACGAATAAACATGGTAAGTTGAGAGAGTCATATTAGTAATGGGTTGTGTTACTGATAACTATCAATAACTTGTGTAAATTTTGAATGCATCCCAGAAGTTCATATTTGCAGAACACGGTTCTCCAGTTGGTGTTTATAAATTCCTGGAGAAATAAATTTGAAGTACAGTATGGACAATATTACAATATTGGGAGAAGCCTAAGAATCTTTGCCATCACTGTACAACAAAGTACTCTGTACTGATTGGAAAGATGTCCACATATAAAAGTAACAGCAGAATCATATGCAAGTTTATAAAGAAATAAGCTCCGTGATATTCAAAGGTGCTGATATCCAAGGATGTTTCCCTGGCCTCAAAGGACATCGGAAGAATACAAAATGAGAATGAGATCTGCTCGAAGATGCAAGCCTAGTGAAGTTCATATTATTTATCCCACATATTTATTCCCTCTCTTTAGGAACTGGTCATTCCAAGATCTGGAAGAGAGACTACTGAACTCAAAAAGGAAATTTAATTAAGCAACATTTTGAGGATGCTTTGAAAGAGCTCATTTGACAATTTACTGATGTGAGACTGGCATATATTTGTGATTTAAGTGTTCTTCATGAATTATTTTAACAATGAATTACGGGTATTCTAATTAAAGGTTTGCAAAGACAAAGAATTGTACCCTCCATCTGTGGATTCATATCTTTTATGCAGATCTATGAAGCAAGATCGAGAGCCCTTCAGTACACCATTCCTGAAGGCTTTGAGTAACACTCCTGGCCCAATTTGTGTTCCAAGCACATTCAGTCCTTTTCCTTACAAGAAAACTACTCATGATGCAACAGGTTCCAAATCAAAAATAGAGACATATGACATGATTTATTTAGAAAGGGAGTAAAAAGAGCATTTGTTAATTTGGGGAAAATAAAATGGTACATTAAAAGATGCCCTTTCCCTGAAACCAAGGCAAGTCCAAGAGGCCTCCTTAAGAAGATAATTTGGGAATATTGTGATTTACACTACCAACTGAACAGTAAGCACCAAAATAGAACAAAAAAGCAGATTTCATTTTGTTGCTCTCTGGGAATCAAAACGTGTCAGAGTCTCCATTTTAAATAAATACAACATATCCAATTAAGGAGAACAGCATTTAAACACAAGCCTATGATAATCAGAGCATACTTTGCTTCTGATTTCACTACTGATTTGAACAGAGGACTGTTCCATTTTCCCACAGCACTGAACTGACCCCACACATATTTCGGCAAGCTAGTAATCACAAAGGATGTACAAAAGGACACTTTTACTGGAACATTCACAGCATGGGACAATAATCCATCACTTACAAAAATACAAAATTCGCATTTTAGTGGTAGCATTCTTAGGATGATACATCATAGAATACAGAGATCAGTGTTCAATTAATGGCTGGCGCTTTTGTTTGTGTTCTATTTTAGAACTTCTGGGTTCAAATGGAAACAACCCTTGGCAGTGATATGTAAAAATTCCAAGTCATTCACTCTTACTGTATAAAAGGAAACAGATTAATGTTTCTGAGGCCACAAGTTTGGTGGCACACTAAAAGAAGAAAACGATAAAGAAAACACATTTTGTTTTTCGGGTGTTTAATAACTTTGTTTCACCTTGTACACAGTTGTACATCTGCACATAATTTAAACGCACATAGAGCTGGATACCTGGATCTAAACAGATTGTATTTAAATATCCTATTTAAATGAGTAGGATTTTAAAAATAATAATAACAATAATAAACGCCAGAAAGGCTAGCTGGCTAGCAGTTAACAGCATTCCCATATGGTGGTGAATATGGCATTTACATTCTGCCACCATCCCCTGGTGTGGGACATGGAGATGAGAGATGGGAACTTTGCAGTCCCCAGGGCTATTGTTTGAAAACACTGTCCCGGAAATTTGGCCAAGAAGAGGTGAAAGGAAGGGCAAATAAAAGCGGGAAACCACAAAACTTTCTTTACCTTCTTTTTCAGAATACAAAATCATATGGATTTCACAGGCTGAAATCCAATGGAAAAAAACACTAAAAATCTAAAGAAGAGGCCCCCCCCCCCCCCATTTGAGTTAACCTAAAAAGTCCTAGTACTTTTTAGTACAAAGCTCCAGTACTTTGGCCATCTCATGAGAAGAAAAGAGTCCTTGGAAAAAACCTTGATGTTAGGAAGGTGTGATGGCAAGAGGAGAAGGGGACGACCGAGGATGAGATGGCTGGACAGTGTCTGCGAAGCAACCAACATGAACCTGACACAACTCCGGGAGGCAGTAGAAGACAGGAGGGCCTGGCGTGCTCTGGTCCATGGGGTCACGAAGAGTCGGACACGACTAAACGACTAAACACACAAAAAGTCCTATCCCTATCTGACACCTCTGGGTTCCGAAAAAGCCCATAGTCCTCAGTGAGAAGGATTATGATTTGAGCCAGATTTCCAAACACGTTAATAACACAAATCCACTGTAGTCTACACATTTGTATGGGAAGCACTGTGATGAAGGGCAAGTATTTGCAGGACTGAATGGTCTGGAGTATAGTGAGAAAACTGCTTTGTTCCAATCCACTGATCAGTTTGTTAACATTTTAAATCACTGAAATTTCTGACAGAACAATATTGCATGAGTCCCATAGCAATGCCAATAATATTGGTAGTAATTATGTAACTTAGACCTCTGAACAGGCAAACTCCATCTCTTCAACACTTTTCCCAAATCACTGTAGTGGTACTCTAAACATCGCTGGGTAAGTCAGGTCATAACCACACTTACTGAGTTCATGGTATTGAGGACACAGAACATCCATTAATTTCTGAGCTTCTTTTATCAGTTTCCATTTGGAAATTTTGACTGGGGAACTATAAAAATGGATAATCTAATTTTAAATGTTCTCAAGAAACGTTCTATTTATCAATTCTTGATGTTGGGTAACAATATTTTTGTTACTTCGCATCCATAAATATTCTGGAGAACAATTTTGACATCTGTTTCACGAAACGGTCTGACAATGATCCATCCTTTATTTCCATGTGATTCTGAATTTATCTGCACAACACAGGAAGATCATTTTGATTCATGTCAACTGCCATGGCCACAGAACCCTGTGGAATCCTGGGGTTTGCTGCTTGGAAATTTATTCCTAATTTTTTAGACAGCTCTTTTGCACACCCCTGGTTAACAGCATCAGAGCTCCCTGGCAGTCAGGATAAATGCACATCCCAGGATTCCATTGGATGGAGTCATAACTATTGAAGAAGAATCAAGCTGATATGACTTTGGCACAGATGAATGCCCTGTGGTCAACAAACTTTAGAACATGGGTTCAAGGCAAATGTGCTACATTACAATAACTCCTGTATGTTCTTTCATATTCTCTCAGATCATCATGTTTGTTCTGAAGACTTTTATTTCACAGTCTACCAAACATTTATCCTAAACCTCATGGGTTTATTACCTGTGATTAATTCTGCCCAGTACAACGTTATCGCACTACTTTGGACATGTGTTGAGAACATTGGTTTTTGAAGAACTCTCCATTAATGACTTTCTGAACTGTGACAATGGATATTGACAGTGCTTGTCAGACTAAAGCACTATTGATTGTCTCACATCATGTGTATAGCAAAACCAATTTCTTTCAAGTGCTGCTTTCCTAACTGAAATACATTAGAGCAATGCCTATCAGTTCATTATGATGTCCAAAATTATAACAGGGAACGCATCCAAAAAAGAATCGACTCCACAAAATATGTGAGCTTTAGTGTAAGAACCTAAAGAATTATAATTTATTTAAAAAGTTCTGCAAACCTCAAAGCCCTTCAAGGGGTCTGATTAAGGTTTTCTGAAATGTCTCTTTAAAAAGGCATGTTCTTAGAATCAGTCTCATTCGCGGCAAAATTCTTGTGTAGTTATCCTCACTGGGTCTCTTCTAATGCAACAACTACACACATTCAGAAGATGTGTGAAATGTTGCACAGAAGGGAACTCTCTAATGACCATGAGGGATGCAGGTATATCATCTATGGAGTCTAGACACCTTACTCCTTTTGGACAAGCTTGGAGGCAGAGAAACATTCTGGATCTGCAGTCTCACAAAACTACTAGTACTGCAGGTATTTCTCTGGGTGTGTACTTCTGTGCACGCACACTGCAGCTCTCAGTATGGAGAACAGGTGATGCGAGGAACTGATCTGTTTCCATCTGTGCACATGGATCTGCTAACTCTCTAGAGGTTGAGCTACTTGCAGGCTTCTTGAATCCCTGCTTGGACATCCATTGAGCATCTTGGCTTGCCTACAGTATCTGCCCGGCTCTCACTCCCACAAAGACTCAGCCACAGCCTCTAATCTAATCATGAGCTGCCTGCTACACCCCTTACTAACTAGACTAAAAACTCAGTTATGTTCACCCCATGGCATTTTCAAGCATATGCTGATGACAGAATCCAACCAACCAGTACTGCAACCTGAGTCTCCTGGAGGAAAGAATAGGAAAATAGTATGGTCTCAATTAGGCATTTTTACTTTCCAACATGACCAGCGATTAACCTGCAATGAAGGAACTAGAACAGATTGTCAACTGTAAGAATGTGTTGCTGGAGAACAAGACCAGGAGCTGTGTAGACTCTTGTATTCCCAGTCACCATGTCTAGGTGTGAAAGCTGGACAGTTAAGAAAGCTGCCAGGAAAAAAAAAATTATTCATTTGAGGAGAGTTTTGCAGATACCCTGGACTGTCGGAAAGACAAACAAGTGGGTCTTAGGTTAAATCAAGCCTGAACTATCTCTGGAGGTAAAATGTTGAAACTGAGCTGTCCTGCTTTGTGCATATCATGA